AAAAAAAAAGAAGCTAAATAATAAATAAAAAAAAGAAAAAAAAACAATTCTCATCAAACACAGTGGTCTGTTGCGGGGGTGGGGGACAATGGGAGGGATAGCATTAGGACAAATATCTAACGCATGTGGGGCTTAAAACCTAGATAATGGGTTGATGGGTGCAACAAACCACCGTGGTACATGTATACCTATGTAACAAACCTGCACATTCTGCACATGTATCCCAAAACTTAAAGTATACCAATAAAAAAAGAAAAAAATACAATTCTGAGTATCAACAAAATGGCAAAGTAGAAGGAATCTGCCTTTGCTCTTCCCACAGAGAACCAAAAGCAAATATCTGGAGCACAGATTAACACCAGCAACATCTCAGAAGCCAAATCTGAGGCTGAAATGACACCAGGGACATAGAGAAATGAAAAACTCTGAGCAGACAATAAAACAAAGTCTTCTATCTTCAGTGTCCCTGCCCCATTCTGCCAGGCATCATGCACAGAAAATTCCTCCCAGTCTCATTTGTTCTACTCTGGAAAAAGTGAGATTGAGATGGATAGTTAGTTTCCCCACTATCTTGGGTTCCCTTTCAGAAAAATAATTCCTGCCTCAACCCACAGGAAGCACCACTAGTGCCTGGAGGGAGAAGCCCCCCTGAGGGCAGCTAAAGACAAAGAGGGGAGTGGAATTAGAAACTCCAGCCTGTAAAACTACTCCTCATTTCAGCCAAAGGAGACACCAAATCAGAGTGGCTGTTCAGCAGCACCATACTATAGAAAGCAGATGCCACCGGTTATCTGGGTATGAACCCCTAGCCAGCCTTTCCACATAGCTGAGGTATCTCCTCTAAGAACCCCACCATCTGAGATGGGCAGTACTGCAAATATTTGTCAGAGCCGAGGAAAATCTGGGCTTAAGGTGCCATCTAGTGCTGAAAAGGAGACAGCAATCTAGGATTAAGGAGAATCACAGGCAACTGCAAAGAACCTCTAAGCAAACATACAACCTAGAAAGTCCAACAAGCAAGACAATAAAGAAAAACTAATCCGTCATTGCAAAGACATACATATGCGTCCACAAGGAACAACAGCAAACAGGAAACTATGACCTCCCCAAATGAACAAAGCAAGGAACTGGTGATTGATACCATGGTGAGACGGTGATACATGAGCTCTCAGATCAAGAATTCAAAATAGCAGTTGTAAGAAAATTCACTGAACTCAAAAACAGCATAGAAAAAGCAATTGATAAATTTATCAGAGAAAAATAATAAAGAGATTAAAGTTGGCTGCGTTGACTCATGC